TATATATATATATATATATATATATATGAATATGTAAGTATTGAGTGGTATGTATGTAAATCTTTCTTCTTTTGAGAGGCTTGCAGAAAATAAACAAAATTTGAGATGTTAGATATATAGAAAATTGCGTGATGTGTGTAAGACTTATCTGATTGGAAATGGTCGGTCGGACGGTCAGAGGTAGATGACCAACTGAAAGTTGGTGCTCGATCGGAGAGGTCGGTCGGAGACAACCGGAGCAGCGGTCGTCCGAGGATTGGCACCTGTTGGAGGGTAGTCTGTTGAAGGATCACCAAATAACTTGGTGATATGTAAGTATATACATATAAGAATTGAGTGGTATACAAGTAAGTCCATATAAAAACTGAGTGTTAGATATGTAAATATGTATATGAATTGAATGACAAGTATGTAAAACTCCCTCGTTTGAACAACCTTTGCTAGGTAGTTGGTTTGGACAAGATGAAGCCTCAGACTTGATAATTCTGGATTTCATATCTTCATGGTTTTGAATAAGAGCGGAGCGGCCTGATGGGCGAGCGGCCGGATAAATGCCAGTCAGAGGGTGACCGGATGTAAAGTTTTTTATTCTTTTTAGTGGCCGACCGATTGAAGCTAGTTGGCCGAAAGTAAGCTGCCGGCCGGAGTTGGGTGACCGACCGTAAAGAGGTTGGCTGGTGCAGGGCGTCTAGGCAAAAAAGTTTTGCTTGACAGAAAAGAGGCTAGCTGATTGGATTTTTTGGCCTTCCAGAATTGTATGGCGGGCTGTCAACAGGTAAGTGGTCGATCGACGGGTAACCTCCGGATGCACACATATAAATTAAGTGACATGTAAACATGTAAGAATTAAGTAAACATATAAAAATATAAAATTTGTGTGGTATGTATGTAAATATAAAAATACGTAAGAATTGAGTGTTAGTATGTAAATCTATCATCTTTTGAGATGGCCTAAGGGAGGTTGCGTCTGGTCCGAAGATTGGCTGTCGATGAGGCGGGTGGCGCGGAAGGCTGCTTCTGCTTGACTAGATCTCGTCCGATAGAGAGAGAATCTGACGTTTTCTATCAACTTTCAAATTTATTTTGTTTTGGGATCTACGAAGTTTGATCCTTTGTCACAGTGGTTCTCTAATTTGCCCTAACAATTTTTCTTAATTATACCTTTTTAATGAACTTCATTAACTTCATTCAGAGCTTGGATTGCTAGCTTTTCATTCATGTGATTTCTAGTTCGACAGTGAAATCACCTAGGTAAAACAGGTCAGATGATAAGTTGACTTGAGTGCAGGGGAGTTGGCAGGCGAGGCGGTCGACCAATGTGGCGGGGCGACTGTTACGAATGTTTAGGAAACAACAATACAACGAAGATTTTTTTTTTGGCAAACGAGTAAGCCCGACCAGCGATGTGGGCCAGAGGTGAGGTAATCAGCCGTCGAGTTGACTAGTTGAAGAGGCGAGTGACCGTCGAGTCTTCTCGCGACGGGTTAGGCGTCTTCTCAAGACAAGAAAACAGGCGAGCTGACCGGGGAGTCGAAAGAGCTACTTTCTTTTGCTTAGAGGATCTCACTGCGGGAGATGAAGGCAAACCAGCTCTGAAGGATCTTTCCAATGGTCCGCTTGCTCACTGACGACGAGTTGAGTCTGACACTCGAAGTCCGGTTGTGTTGTTCTAGCTTTTGGTGGCTGGTTAAGGGAGACGTAGTCGACTGAATTTAAGTTTGTTTGCCGAACTAGGAGCTGTCGTGGGATGTACTGTCGGCTGATCGAACGATCGTTGCAGAGGAGACATTGCTAGTCATAAGGAGACCGATCAACAGAAGGATTGTCGGCTAATGCAAGAGTCGCCGACAACTTGAGATGGTTGGTCGGCAAGATCGTCGACCAGAGGAAATGTGTGCTCTGTTCTCATGGAGAAATTAAAAGGGAAAAGGGGAGAAGACGACTTCCGGCCGTAAAAGCGGAAGCGTCACTGTGGCGGAATTTTAAGGCAGAGTTGTTTGAAGAAAAGAAGCAAGGGAGGATAATGGCGAGAGGGAGAGGGTGAGTTTAGAAAGTGAGGAAAGGCGGGTGGAGAAGGTAAGTAAAGATAGTTTCAACTTATTCCAAGTTGGGATTTTGAAGCTGATGTTAGCACCGAAAAATTTTAGGAGTGCGCAGTTACCGATTGTTCTTTTAGTTTGGACTTTTGGAGATAGGCGGTGATGCTAGACGCAAAGGGGATGTTAGTGTCGAGCAAGGATGGAGAAGAGGAACCCAGCCTTAGCACCGACAAGCTTAACCACGAGGTATTCTCCATTCTCAAGAGCAAGTTTCTATTTGGGCATGATGATGCTCTCTGGTTATGTGTTTCAAAGTTTTCGGCCTTCAAATTAGAAGCTCAATAATCTGTTAAATCGGTCGGCCAAGCAATCTGTTGTAGTGTCAGTACCCCTTGTGTTTTTTGGCTAGGAGTGTTTCTCTTAAAGAATTTTGTCCATCGGTGTTGTTCGTTTTTTTGTTGACGACATGATCCACGCTCACCGCATCTTTTAGGATGTTGAATCCATATCTGTCCAGTAGACCGTTCCCAAGGAGTAGAGCGAGAGAGAGAGAGAGAGAGAGAGAGAGCGAGAGAAGAAAGAGGGGAGGAGGACTTCCCTCGACTGCGGAAATGGGGTGTTCTCGAGCTTGTGGACCCATTTTATTCCATAAAATTTGAGGTTACAAATGAGGGGTGCCCCACATCTCCCCCCCCACCCCCCACAAAAAAAAAGGCTATATGAAACCTTCCTATTTATAGAATATATGAGGGATAAAAACTGTCCAAAATTACATATTTGCTATATTTTGAAGAGAGAAACAAATGACATTTTAGTCTCTTTATTTCGATGGTTGGATTGTCTCGAGATCAGTGCAGGCTTTCAGGTTTATGTTTCTTCGCCTTGCTCCCGATGACATTCAATACATAAGAAATTAAGTGACTTATATGTGAATTTTCTGAAGATGATGGTTGCTTGAACGTGATTATCTGGCTAGCCGAAGGAGAAAATTGGCCGGCCGACTGAAATGAGGTAGCTAAGGGAGAGAGTTTGGCCGGTAGACTGAAGTAAGGTGACCGAGGGAGAGAGCTTGATCGGTCGACTGAAGTGAGGTGGCCGACTATTGAATTGTTTCGAGATCCATGCAGACCATTTTTTATATACATGGATTAAGATATAATTGAAGTAGACCTCTGTGGAAAGTCCTTTGATGCAGTCTTTCTATGCTAAGTATTTCTCCAAGGTTTAGAAACATACACATTTAAGTTGTAATTCACTTGGCATGGAAAGCACACAAGAGAGTCATATGCTCAATCTAAATGCTTGTATTCTATCATCGAGTACGGTATAAGATAACATGTAAGAAGAATGTGACCGCTATGTAAAGAGGAATGGGTTGGAGCTTCAGCATCTTTGATGATTTTCAATGTTTTCTAGATTTTTCAAAGAAGGTTCTCAAAAGATGGGTGGATCCAAGGCATAGTGTTGCCCTATAACATTAATTAGGAGATAGGGGAGCTGGTGAGGGGGCGATCAAATACAGAGGCAGTTTTTAATGTAGTAGCTAAAGTAAGGCCAAATCAACAAATAGAAAAATTGCTAGGCTAGTTCAAGCACAAACCTATACAATACATTTGGTGGCGGTCAAATATTAAGGTAGTTGTCAATGTAGTAGTTAGGTAAGGTCAAATCAACATATAGAAAAAATGCTAGCCTAGTTCAAGAACAAACCTACATAATACTCAACTTGCATGACTCCAATAATTCGTACGTGTGGCTCAAAAAGAAAGGTACTTGAAGAACATCTTGGTTTCACATAATCTAGACTTATGACTTTTACTAAACTATTGTTATAAATGCCTTGTCCTCCACTCCTAAACTATGCTTTTTTTAAATTATTGTTAGTCCACAAATATTTTTTTCAGCTTCTAAAAATAAAAAATTTCCATGTTAGATCATTTGAAATCCTTCTTGAAATTCTGAGATGTTTTTATTGATTTCCCATGCAGACTAAACTTCATGTTTAGAAGGGCACTACCATATAGACATACGGCTGATAATGGAAGCATTCCTTTGGTGAGCTCGTCGTTACAAAAGTCCCGCTCATCATCCTTTCTAACAATTGGACTTGTTCTCGTGGTAATTTATTTCTAATCTTTTCATTTTTTTCATGATTTGGTCTTCTTTCATGATCAGCAATGCATTATATAATTTCATGAAATTTCCTTCATTTCTTTGCTTTTTTTTTGCCCACACGAAATTCAGGGTGCCTTTCTTGTCATTGCATACACCTATAGTGGCTCAGGTATGCGCACACTCTATGAAAAATACTTTATTAGCAAACAACATTGGGGAATTTGGCAGTTACCACTACTATTTTTTTTTCCTTCATTATATTTTTTACCGATGAATCATTCATACCCCCTCAAAAATATCTTTAATGTTGCATGGACAGGTTATAACGGTGAAAAAGAAGCTTTGAGCAGAGGTGAAGGTAGGCCTTTCTATTGTAGTAGTAATTTATTTTTCAATGCTTATTTACATTTCCAAAATGCAACAATTGCTCATTATGTCAGCTTTTATTTTGATAATAGGGTTTTTAGAAGTAAACTATAGTGTTCTTTGCTTTAAACATTATCATTTCAAGTCAGGTGACAACAGTAATTTTCATTTGTATAATTTGACCATTTACAATTCTGAGGTTTCTTATAAGTAAATGGGTGGTCGAATGGCATGCGCCTTGGTTAGCACCCATTTTACAGGTTGTGGAACCATCCGTCTAATCAGATGGAGATTGTTTTCCTTATTTATATCATGCATCTTATTTGTGGTGTCAACCCTCAAGATACTTTTTTACCATAATTAGAAATATATTTCATGTTAAAAGGTTTCCCCCTGATTAACTATTTTTTATCTTCTCTTTTATGACCAACACCTTAGGGCTTAATAACATCATCTTTAGAAGTAAGTGGATTATTGACATCTTTTAAGTTTATTTTATCTCCTGTATAATATAGTGTTACTAAAATTCTTGTAAGAGGGAACTAATGAAAATAAATGATGCAGTGCAGATACATGAGGAAGATGAATCAACCATAAAGAGTATGTGAGGTCTCAATGATTAATTATAATTATAGTTATTTATTGGAGTGTGTTGTAAATTTGTCTAAGTATTATGGACTTGTGATTTTATTATTGCTAATGCTTTATTTATAAAAAGAGATTTACATATTATCACTTATAAAAATAAATCTAATAAAAAGATAAATTGATTTTTTTCTTATGGAAAATCGTAGAGATTGTAAAGATTGTAAGGTTATTTCAAGTGCAAATTTAAGTATCTAACATCGTTTATCGAATTTGGATTTTAAGATGAAGGGTTTAAGGATGAAAAATACAATGAACTATCATTGTAGATTTAAATGAGAGCATTGAAAATACACAAATAAAATTATTTTTATTAGCAAAATTCAAGATTTTAATATTTGGGTTTTTCATGAAGAAGCTAATATTATGTGAGATAAAATACCGAGTACTATCAAGCAAGTTGCAAAAGATGTGCTTGTATAATAAAAAAAAAAACTCTTATGAATAAAAAGAGTTGGTGGTGGAATAATAATGTGCAAGAAATATAAAAATATTAAATTTTGTTATAACTTGGATTAGATGTAAAAGCTTGAAAAGTTGAAATAAATAAATAGCCTGTAAGGAATCTAAAAGAATAATTTGTGATGCTAAGAATTTTGTTTTTAATGATCTTTATAATAAATTATATTCTAAAGAAGGTGAAAGATACATGTATGAATTAGCCAAGTAAAAAATTTAAAAAAAAAATAAAGATTTAATTCAAGTAAATTGTTATAATGATGAAAAAAAAATCTTCGATGAGAATATTCAACATAAGTGTGTGAAATATTTTAATAAACTTTTCAATGTAGATGATAAAAATAGGATCGATTTTAGTTATCTTAATATCTTCAATAATAACAAACTTTTTATTTATATCGCTACATTAGTTGCAGAGGCTTTAAAGAAAACAAAATGTGGAAAAATATTAAGACATCATGATATTTCAATAGAAGTATGAAAATATTTAGGTGATTTGGGAATTTCTTAGCTTATTAATTTTCTTAATCTTATTTTAAAACCAAGAAGATGCCTCATGAGTAGAGAAAAGTCTTTGGGTTTATATTTTTAAGAATAAATGAGATACCTGAGAATGCAAATTATAGATGAATTATTTAATGTGTCATGTGTTAAAGTTATGAGATAGAGTAATTGAACATAAAGTACGACTTGATACAAAAATTTCTCAAAATTATTTTGATTCATGCTGAGAAAGTCTACTATGAAAGCTATACAATTATCTAAATGTTTGATATTGGAGAAGTAAAGAGGGACTAAGGAGGATCTACATATATTTTTTGTTGATTTAGAAAAAAAACTTATGATAAGAAGATAAGTATTTTGGAGAGTTCTAGAAAAGAAAGGTTTTGATATTGCTTATATTCAAATCATTATAGATATGTATATTAGAGCTATTATCTGTGCTTGAATACAAGGAGGATTGACTAAGGTCCTGTTTGAGATTACCTTTCGTGTTCTGATTTTTTTTTTTGAAAACAAAAAAAGTTTTCAAATAGAAAACAAATCCAAAAATATTGTTTGTTTATTCCATTTTGTTTTTTTAATTATGTTTTTAAAACACATAAATCTTGCTTTCAAAACATTAAAAACACAAAAGTTCAATTTTTATTGTTTTAAAAACATGTTTTTTGGAACATTCCCTGAGTGGAGCAATGAAGATGTCCACCCGCCCACAATAATGTTTTTTGCTGAGTGGAGCAATGAAGACGTTGTATACGTCATGGGCGGTAGAGTTTAATACTAAAGCGCACGTGGATCCAACCATTTTATAAAAAAATAATAATTTTTTCATTAAATAAATAAAAAATATGCAACTAAACATATTTTATATTTTTTATTTTTAAAAACATATAAATCATAACAATATCAAACACGTTTTCTAACAACAGAAAAACATAAAACAAAACAAAAGCAAAGCAGACTAAAAACAAAAATGAAAAAAGAAAACACAAAGTGATCCCAAATAGGCTCTAGTATTTTTCTATTTTAATTAGATTACATTAGTCCATATTTTTTTGCTTTAATTATGAATGTTCTTACTGGACATACTATGGCATGCTGAATGTCCCTCGACAGTGGCAATCCCTTTGGGAGGCTTTTAGTCACCACGACTTGAAAGTCACTAGGATATGGATTTCCTCCTCAATTTCCTCTAACATTACTGAGGCTTCATTTAAGGAAGCTTCTTCTCTTATAAAATTCCCTTTTCAAAATAAACAACTTATATAAAATTTTCGTTAATAAAATTGATAACCCGCTTGAATAGAAATTTTTTTAATTTTATTAGTTATAGCTTTTCAAATACAAATGACTAAAATATCCATCCATCTCCAATTCACAGGTTCCTCGCAGGAGAGAGTATCTACAATCGACATTCTTGTTGTCACTTGTTGACGTCAATTACAAATGTAACACTAAAGGAGCCCTGTGAGGTCTACAAACAAGCTTTGATAGCTGTCACCTGCAAAGTTGATCTACTCTTCTTGCGCGTTGATATCCACTCTGCCAATCCTCTCGCATGCCGATACCATTGTGTCCCTATCACTGCTTGTTTGAATCCCCCGTCCCCTTACCTTGTCCTATTTTTTAGTGTCATTGATGAAAAAGACACCGTCACTTACGCACCTTGGATAGTGCCTGCTTTAGTGAAGGATACAGATCAAGTAATGATGAAATTGACAGACTGCTTCTCTGATGTCCATCCGTACCTAGATATGGAATACACTTCATCGGTAGAAGCTGGTATTTATCAGTCTAACAACATCATGCAGGCTAGAGGCGGAGCTTTTTCAGGCTTCATTATGCTCTATTTTTCTAAATACAAGCCGAAACATTGCTGCACCGTCAGCAACAACGTAATCGGAATTGGGAGTGGTGCCAGACGGTGGTGGTAGCACCATGTGCTATGAGTCACATGGTTTTACAACTCCTCCCCTCAATTTAAGTTTGTGAGGAAGGTCATGGTGCTCAACATTGAAAGCCGATTTGGACATTTTCATATGCAAAATAGTGGAATAGAAGGGAATGCGGGCCGAATCGCGATTTAAAATGGGGAAGAAATGACATTACGACAAAGCATCTTTCAGAGACATTGTTGCACAAATCGAGTGTAGAGCATTCTCATGCCATTCTATGCAACAAAAAGGAGGTTTGCCATTGTCTCAAATGAGGCCTAAAGCCATTGCCACTAGTGCCTCTTGTACGAACTACATAAAAGGGGCTCATGGGACTACTGTCTCCTCTATGATATCTACTGCTCTCGAGTCCCTGAAGGGCAAAATAACTATGTGTATTCCATCCTTCTTGAACAAATGAATGTTTTTGAACTCGTCATACCGAGCCTTGCAATATAACTGCCATGACTTTTCCAACAAAATATGGCAAGCATCAATGGGTATCGCGTCGCATCACACCCGCTCTTTTAGCTGGTCTCTAATAGAAAACTCAACGAAGCACCATTGATCCAACCGTTTCTCATTTTTCATTTTGAACTAAGGAAATAAGGTTGAGAGTACTTATGTATGACCAAGTCCAGTTTCTTTACAATCAGAGTGGATGCCACATTCTCACAACTCCCATCATTAATAATCAGGCTACCCACCTTCCCTCTCATGCCGCACCTGGTGCTGAAAATGCTAGCCTTAGCCACGAATGATCCTTCTCTATTTCAGTTTGTAGGACCCTCCTTATGACTAGCATCTCTCCCTCATCTCCCTAGATTTGATGCTCCTCATCCCGATCTTTCATTGTTTCCTCCTCACTTCCTCAACGTCACTCTGCTCAGTGCAAGAAACAATTCGGCTTGTAGGGCAGTTGGAGGCTATGTTTTTGAAGCCATGACAGATAAAACATCTCATGACAGACACTGTACCGGGTGCGTTACTCTTCTCGGGCTTATTTCCTCTCAGATTTGTCCTATCATGCCACTGTCCAGTCTTCCCAACTCCTTTAAAGGTAACATTGTTCGTAGTTGCAACTGTAAGTGGTTGTCTGAATGAGGGCGCTTGTTTGTTTTGTTTCAGCTGTCTCTCCACCTTCTAGGCTAAGGCCTGAATATTTGCTAGTGAGCAATAGGGATGCAGTTAAACACCATTACTAATAGTTGGTTTCAAGCCTCTCAAATATTGGGATATCATATGTACCTATGGATCGACCAACTTGCATTTCACCCGAAGCTGCTCAAATTATATCGTTAACTCCTCTACTTATAGATCTCTTGTTGTAGGTGTTGAGCCTCAGAAGCATTTCTTGACGGTAGTGAGGTAAGTATTTCCTTTGCATCTCCTTCCTCATCTTGTCCCATATAGTAATCTTATCACTTCTTTGTCTCCCTTACCTTTGCAAATT